CTTGGGGGACCAGATTGTGCCAGGAATAGGTAGCGCACAAAATGCCCTATCCCAGGACCTGGAAGCTTACATTTTAAAATAACCTGATATGGGGCTAGAGTGATAGCACAGTGGAGAGAGCATTTGCCTTGCACGTGGCCAACCTGGGTTCTGTACCCGGCATCCCATATGGTCCCCTGAACACTACCAGGAGTCATTCCTGAGTGCAGATTCAGGAGTAACCCTGAGCATCAGAGGGTGTGATTCAAAAAGCCAAAAAAAATCATAAAATAACCTGATATGAAAGGGGCAGGCGAGACGGGTTGGGGGGGAAACGGGATACCCGAGGGATGGAAAACCCTAGTCATCTATACTTCAACTTTTCCTCATTTTTCCTGATTAGTCATATTAATAATTCCTTTTAGGTGTATAAAAACATTTCATATAAATAGCATCAAAAGAATCTTGCTGGTTATTAAGCACTTCAAAACCATACAGTTTGGCACAAGGATGTGAAACCAATACTAATAAACTATCAGAATATCGTCTGCAAGGAGGGAGGCTTTTAACTCACTTTTGTTCTCTTCAGCTGTTCACTTCCATCCAAAAAAAATTCCCCTCAGGGGCCGCCATTTTCACAGCCGACGACCTGCCGTGGCTGTCGTCAACGGCAGTGCACCGAGGAGCAGGCACCACAGAAGGAACTGCCGCTAAAGTTAAAAGCTGCCCCTTGGTTGAGCCGTGGCCACGTCAATCATTGTCCCACATGCCAGTAGAAAAGCAGATAGAGGATCCTAATGAGCGCAGCATTGCATCGTCCCTTCTACCCACCCAACCGTGTGCCCAAGTTCCGGGGACATTAGAACTATCCAAGAGGGAGAAGCAGTTTCCAGTTTCCACTTCGGAATAAATGCTTTGGGCACCTGCTTAAGCTGATAGTGACCCTTTAATGGGTTGATTTAGTAAGAAATTTTTGGAAAGAAGCGGGGACATGCTTCTCTAGATGACATCGGATTCCTCCAACTTCCGGAGGCCAGCAGAGCTGGGGGCGGGACTTGGAACATGGGCGATCCGGGCGACCGCTTCCCTTGGCTGGAAGTTCATTTTCTAGATTTAAAGAGCGAGCTGAAGAAAGCCCCACTAGTGGAAACATGTGACCCAAACTATAACAGTTAAATTTTTCAAAGGAGTCGGGATGGGGAGGTGGGAGGGCACCTGGGCGCCATGGTGGAGGTACAGTGACATACACGGTGGGTATTTAGTTGGAACACTGGATGGGATAGAACGTTGGAGGAGGTGGAACGTTGGATGGGCTGGAACGATGGATAGACTGGAAAGTTGGATGAGACGTTGGATGCCTTAAACTCTATGAGCAGCTTTGAAAATCACATTGCCGGGGCTGGAGCGATAGCACAGCGGGTTGGGCATTTGCCTTGCACGCGGTGGACCCGGGTTCTAATCCCAGCATACCATATGGTCCCCGCGCAGTGTCAGGAGTAATTCCTGACGGCACAGCCAGGAGTAACCCCTGTGCATCGTGGGGTGTGACCCCAAAATTTAAAAAAATCTCAATGACTAAATGAAAGTATTTCATAAAGGCACAAGAAAAATTTAAAACTGAAATAAAATTAAAAGCCAAAATAAATAAAAAACTAAAATAAAAATGGAAAATCTTCCTGAAGGTTGTGGAACATGTCGCCATAAATCTTTCTCCTTTCCAAAGTTTCAGCTCATTTCTCTATATTCTTAAATTATTTTTAGAATCCACTTCTCCCATCAGCATTAAGAATAACATATGGAGCTGGAGCTCTAGTATAGCGGGTAGTGAGGCTGCCTCCCATGTAGCAGACCCAAGTTCGATCCCCAGCTTCCTATATATCTGCTGAGCACCGTCAGGAGTAATTCCTGAGTGCAGAGCCAGGAGTAACCCCTGTGAATGGCCGGGGGTTACCCCAAAAAAGCAAAGAAAAAAGAATAACAGATGGCATTGAAAGGCTCATGAGTTTTATCTTTATTCAACTCATGGTTTTTCATTTCTCAACTTCCCACTCCCTTCCTGCCTCATCTTTTACCAGGGATGAATGAAAAATAAAGCAATATTGGAGGATCTTGAAGTCTGCCTTTCCTAAGGAAGCAAACCTAGAAGGAAAAGAATAGGGTCATTTTAATTTCTCACTAATTTATAATTTTTTATTCATTCGAGGGCCTGCTAAGCAGTGCTCAGGGGGGCCACTCCTGGTGATACTTGGCCCAGCAGGCTGGTGCTTTAGTCTAGAACCTGAGAATGCAGTGCTGCCAGGGCACACTAGAGCCTTCTCAGCAATATTCAGGGGCCTCCAGGGTCACAGCTGTTAATGTTCAGGAACCTAGGTGGTTCCAGAATTTGAAGTAGGTTGAATGCATGTGTCCTAACTCCTGTACTATCTCCCCAACCTGTTTTCATTCTCTATTTTAAAAATTTTATTGCCACACTCAATAGTGCTTGGGGGTTTTGTGCTAGGTAGTCGCCCCAATTTGTGCTCAGAGGTCCATACACTCCCAGGGACAGAACCTAGGGTTGTTGCATGCAAAGCATATACTCCAGCCATTGAGCTATCTCTCTAACCCCCTGTTATTTTTTTCATACTGTAATTTAAATTTTAATATTTTTGTTTTTGGGGGGTCTATACACAGAGGTGCTGATAGCTTACTCCTGGATCTGCACTCAGGAATCACTTCTGGCAAGGCTCAGGGAACCATATGGAATGCCAGCGATATAATCCAGGTCAGCCATGTGCAAGGCAAGTGCCCTACCCACTGTGCTATTTCTCTACCCCTTCATTAATTTTTTAATTGTAAAATAATATTTTGTATTTGAGCACAGATAATCAACTATAAGTCTAAGTTCCTGGGAAGCAAGGATTCCTTTTTATAATAATTTATGTAGGTAATAGCTCACAGAGTGTTATATAAATAAGAGCTCCCTGGATTTTTATTATTATGAATAAATGAAGTATGTTAGTTATATGTTCCCAGAAGTTTCCAAGTCTTAACTAAATTTTAAAATAAATATGAGTGATATAATGATATTGATGTTATTTAAAACATCATGTTTGGGGGCTTAAATTGATGTTTGAGCTAATAGGCTATATTTTTTAATTACTAAGCTTAGTAACAAGGCATATCAGTGAGTTCTGTTAGAGAAGAGAAGTTTAGACCTTTGTAACATAGCATTTTTATCTAATTATGTATGTATGTGTATGTACATGGTGTGCCAGGCATCAAACCCAGCACTCATAACACAGGCAAAACACTCTCCCACTGAGCTGTGTTCCCAGTCCTTCAAACTTAAACGTGCTTAGGAATCATCCAAGGGACTTATTAAAATATAGTTTATTATTAAGTAGATTTTGAGTGAGGACATATGCTTTGTATTTTTAATATTCTTCAGGGCTAGATTGGTATGGATGCACCTATAAATATTATGTAACAAAAATTTGTTACTTAGAGTTTGGAGTCAGGTGGAACAGGATTTCAATCAATGCTTATCATTTTATTGTTATTTATTTGTATAATTTTAAGATTATATTCAGTTTCCTAATCTATTAAACTGAAAAGTAGCTCTCACATAAAAATTTGTGACTGTAAGGGACTAGAGCAATAGTACAGCCTTGCACATGACTGACCTGAGTTTGATACCTGGCACCTCATATGGTCCTCCAAGTCCCACCAGGAATAGTTTCTGAGCTCTGAGCTAGGAGTCAGCTCTGAGCACCACTGGCTGTGGTCCCAAAACTAACACAAAATTGCAGCTATTAAATAAAAAACTATTAAATATTGTGGACACTGAATCAAATATTTTGCACATGTATGTATGTCATTATTATGACATATATAGATGAACTGACATTTGGTTAACAGCTTTCTGTATCTTAGGGTACTAAATAGTTCGAAGGGTTAATTTTTTCTTCTTCTGAGGTTTCATCCCTTATAATATATCCATTTTTATTCTGTTATCTAAAGCCAAGAAGATAGAGGTACGAGAAAGGGATGGAAATTCCTCACAATATGGATGAGTGCCCTTGAAGCACTTGGCTCAGCTCAGCTCTCAGAAAATGGTCTGCTTTCATCCAATCAAACAACATTAAGCTTGTCAGATCAAAATAAGTGCAGGGACATAACAAAGAAAGGGGAAAATGCTCAAGTCAAGAAGGTACAATTGGGTTTAAAAAACAGACAAAGAAAAAACAATAACAAATAAAAAACAGAACAAAGCAAAAACCTGGAGGCGAGGTTTAATTGTCAAAGAAAGAATTCTCTATCACTAGATAGAAAATGAAAGTGTTGATTATTTCCTAAAGCAGTGTGCCTGGCAACCAAAATGTCTCTTCTTCCCACCTGTTATATCTTCAAATCACATAGCTCCCTCCTGTGTTTATAGTGGGACTAGTGTTTTCTCATCATTCTGTGCTGTATCTCACCATGAGGTATACCAACTCTACACGTAACAGAACTTTATTTTATGCATTTCTTCCTTAGTTGTCAAGTTGAAATTAAAATATTTTGTACTCTCTGACAGCTGGTACAGTGATAGGAGAGTGCTATAGAGGAATTTTTAGAAGTGCTGGTAATCTGTAAAATATGTCTATTCATGCCTTTCTCTGTCTCTTTTCTGGTGTTTTCAATGATAAAGCTATTTGTATCTATTAATACTATTTTATTAGACTCTTTGGAAATGACTGACATATGGTATGTAGCTTATATCCTTAAATTTGCTTTATCATATATTTCCCAAGTGATTACACATAATTTATTATGGAAAACACTGAAGTGGAAATGGGACAAAGACACAGTTCCCTTCTTTAAGGTTTTATAATCCTAGATAAGAGTTATATATAGCAAGGTAAGAGTTGTTCTGTTGGTGCTATTTTTGACTCGGCCTCTAAACTATGATGTCTGGGCGTGGTGCTTACCTTAGAACTACATAATGAGGAGGATAGACTGAACTAATGTTTTATAAATTTGAGTGCTTATAACTTTACCTGAGATGGTTTTTCCCCCTTAATGTAATGGGGTATTATTGTAGGAAAATAAGGAGCAGAAGCGGAAACTAGAGGTGGGACCTCTGAGAGAGCCATTATAGAAGCTGGACAAAGATGAATAGGCCATAAATCATACAGTTGTGAGCAGAACAGAGCAGAAGAGGCAGACCATGTTGCTTGAGGAGTAATGGAAGGGGGCCACAGGGCAATGCCAATGTGGAACTTAGAATAGAAGCATCACTCATTGTACTAAGCAGTATTATGTTAGCAACAATTGTGTATGTTAGATGAGAAAAACTGCTCCCAAAGAATTGGTGTATCCTGTGTCTAAACTTGTAAAAGCTTTGGGTAATTTTGGCATTAGCCAGATTGAGTCTGCATACGTAAATAAAACTTGGCTCTCCCTCTAAACTCTCAAGTGCCCAAATCTGATTTTTGGCCAGATTTCTTTGTTCTCTGACCAGGAAAGTGATAGAACTTGCCCCATTTGTCTGTTTCTACTTGTGAGACTTTTGGAGATGGATTGGATGACAAATGACCAAGCATCACTCCACTGTTGAGGAGAGTCTTCCAGATAAGAGGGTCAATATCACCTAGGTCCTGTTCCTTCAGCCTAGACTTACAGAGGAATATATGGGTATGTATAAAACTTGGAATTCTGGGTAAGGTAGAATGCTCCAGGGCCTGGTCCAGAATACGATTCTTTCCTGTAAGATGGAAGGGGGGCCTGGTGATCATTTGGGTAGAACTTAGTTTACATGATCTTGAGGGAAGATCATCTGTCATAGGAATCTATTGCTTGGACACAGAGTCAGGAATTTACCCAGGGGATCAGGAAAGTGGGAAGGAAAGTTTAAATGTGAGAGAGAGAAAGAGCGAGGGGGAGATAGAGGGAGAGAGGGAGAGAGGGGAGGAAGAAGAGAGGGAGAGGGGGAGAGGGAGAGAAAGAGGGAGGGAGAGAGGGAGAGAGAGAAAGAGAGAGAGCTGAATTGCCTGCATGTCAGGATCAAATCTGTGATTCCACAACTAGGCACTATTAATGCCTCCTAAAGGCTACAGAATCTGATTCAGTGCTCTGGTTCCATGGCCAGATATAAGGTCTATTGTGGTATGGACTTAGAATTTAATCATAAGTCACAGCACTAAGCCACATTCACTAAGTCTTGCCATCAGTCTGAGTTGCAACTGAATGGCCTCTGAAAAGGGGCCCTTGTCTGTTATGATACACCAGCACTTGGGAGGGATTAGAAAGTGTTGCCATCTCCTCGAAGCATTTCCTGGATGTTTTGTTAAAGAACTTTCACAAAGGTTTCAGTGAGGACTATGTCTTTGTTTGTTTTTGTTTGGGAGCCACACTCAATAGTGCTCAGGAATCTGTGCTCAGAGATCACTCCTGGTGGTAGTCAGGGGTTCATATGGGATGCCAGGGATTGAACCTAGATCAGCTGCATGCAGGGCAAGAGCCTGACCACTGTTCTAGAACTCTGCTCCCTCAGTGAGGATTGTTGGTCAATATGACACCAGACAAGCTGTGAACCCAAAGTAAACTTGAATGGCCAATATTTAATGTTGGGTTGATACTACAGGGGACAACTAACATCAGATTTAGTAGGGCAGTCTGATGAATATTGACAGGGAGTAGCATCTCCCTAATCAGTTCCCGTACATTGATTTCTGTCTGACTTTCCTCCTGACCATTCCACTGTGGATCTAGCCAGCTACTGTCAGACATTTACAAACTTGGAGGCAGGATGGCCCTGTAGCTTCACTGTCAGGTAATTCTCTGCAGAAGGGGTGGGCCTCACAACCCCCAAGAGGAGGGCAGAGAGAAAAGGCATAGCTCAACGAACAGCTGGAGTTGAAGCCCCACATTGCTTTTGCCACACTTGTATTTACTGGGTTCCCAAAAGTCCATGGTGTAGGCAGATGCTGGCGTGGCAAAGGAAAAACAAGATTCTCTATGGCCTGACTATCTAGCATCTCTATTGTGGTGAAATCTCCTAAGGAAGTTAGGAGCTCAAACAAATTTCTACCATGACACTTTTATTTTTAATTTTTATTAGTGAAACACCATGAGGTACAGTTGTAGACATACAAAGTTTTGTGCTTGGGTTTCAGCTATACAATGATCGAGTACCTATCCCTCTATCGGTGCCCATTCTTCACCACCACTGATCCCAGCATCCCTCCCAACCCCATTCCCCCCATCCCACCCTGCCTCTGTGACAGGGCATTCCCTTTTGTTCTTTCTCTCCTTTTGGGTGCTGTGGTTTGCAAAAGAGGGGTTGAGTGCAATCATGTTCGGTCTACAGTCTACTTTCAGCATGCATCTCCCATCCTGGGAGGATCCTCCCTATACCCTTTATTTGATGCTCCCTTCTCTATCTGAGCTGCCTTTTCCCCTAGCTTGTACGACTGGCCTCCAAACCATGGAGTAAACCTCTTGGTACTTATCTCGGCTATTCTTGGGTGTTAGTCTCCTATTTTGTTACTTTATGTTCCCCAGATGAGTGCATGGCACTTTGTCCCTCCCCAACCCAGTCATGGTGCCCAGGGAGGAAGAAAACATGGGGAAATTCCAGAACAAATTCCTTAAAGCCTGGACTGAATGAACCTTCCGATCTTTGGCACAATTTTGTTCCTCTAGTGATTGGACTCAGGCCAGGAGCTAGACCTGTGAGCTAGTGAGAGTACCTAATATCTCATGATGTTCAGCTAGGAATCATGGAGCATATAGAGTTTTGGGAAGCTGGAATATTTAGTGGGGTATGCCTTGTTTTGGAAGACACTGTTGTTTCCTATAGTAGGAAACAATGGGGTTTCTGACATGTGTGGAACCTGTGCCCAATCATTGCAGCCATGACGGCTATTCACTTTGTTGTACCCTCTCCTTATACACTGTTCGGTGTGTTTTTTTCAGTGATTTACTTCCTTGGACCTCAAGGACAAGTTGTTATTGTGCTTGCAAATTGCACCAGTTATCCAACTTCTGTTGACCTTTAAGTAGGAAGATCCAGAGACAGGTAGGAAAATTCTATCTGAATCTGGTTGACCCAAGGGTTCAAGATATCTCTCACCTTGTCTGAGGAACAGCTGGCTATGGACATAGAAAAATTCCCTGGGGAATCTCTGATACATAGCATCCTGCAGTCTGGAGATGATTTGTTCCTGGCAGCAGAATCCCCAAAGGACTGCAAAAGGGGCACAAGGGCACTCCAGCTCTTGGCTAATGCTGAGCCTCTGGAAGCAAGCATGGTGTGAATGAAAAGTAAAAAAGGTACTGAGTTCAGTCCCAGTACTAGTAATCCCAGAAATTCAGCCTCTCTTCATGCGTTGGAAAGGCCACCGGGCTTTAGGAGCCCTGACACAGACAGTTACGTCCTTGGCAGAGGCTGGTGGCATATTTCTCCCTTTAGCCTGTGGATGGCCACCATGCATCAGATCTCTGGCTGCTGCCATACTGCTAATAAGAGAGGTAGAAAAACAACACATCTTAAGGATCCCCATTAATTAGTGACTGATGAATAACAAAGGGCATATGTGGCTATCTAAGACACAGATGGCTCAGTACCAAGGGCTGTTGTGTGAAAACTCACGCCTGACTTCTGAAGCTGTGCAAAGCCTTAACCCCAGCCCCTTTTTACCAAAGAGTAAGAGCCCCCAACCTGTAACTGTCAGGAAGTGGGGAATGAAATATATTGTCCAAATTAACCAAAATGTTTAAGAACAGTCCTCAATTACCCTGAAGTTATGGGCATAAAATTTCCAGTCAGGGGTTGCATCTAGGTAAGGACTGGAAGAAAGAAGTACTCTAGCCCACCTGAAAGGGACTGTACCTCTGTGATTCTTGTCACCCCCATAGGTCTTTTAATGGAAGCTAAATGTCCTTTGCAGAGGAGCTCCAGTGGAAAGCATCAGCTGACTCTGGGGAAATGCTTTACACCTAGCTGAAATGAGAGCTCTGCTATGGCCACATTCTGAGAGCTGGCCAGTCAACTCATGGCAGGAGTTTTAGAAACATGTTGATATTTTGCTAGCCGTGGACTTATTCTCTGTTGCACCCACAACATAGGTGCACTGCAAAATTGACTTTGGTATTGATCTTCATACATGTGGTTAGGGGTAAAATTAGTCTATAATGTTGATATCAAAATTACCAAATACTGTATGTTTCCTTTGGATCTTGCATGTGGCCCTATGAGGACATGGAGAATTTCAGATTGTGAAATCGTGGGGTGACAAGAATGTCATTTACTGGACCATATCTCTCAGTGAAATATTTCTTTCCTCTCTCCTTTATGCTCCTTGTATCTTACTTGCTTCATGCAATGTCTTGTGTGCATGAACACAGGAAAACAGACTGGATTTTCCCTTTGTAATGATGCTAGTGCTATAGTGGATCCTGATAGAAGAACCCAGAAATTAGTTATATTAACTCAAGCTTCAGTTGCCTCAAGATTGCCTTTAATTTCTAACACCCAAAAAGGTGGATCCCACTGAGGGTCTTGGGTGGATCTAGGGCAAGTGTTTTACTACCCAGGCTTCAAACCTAGGAGGAACTAAGGACCTACAAGAAACATAATTGGCTAAGATCACAGTAATGGAACAGGCTTTGACCCAAAGAAAAATAAGCAACTTACAAGGACCCTATTGGATTGGGAAAAGCTAAAACAGACTGGCCTGAGGCCTGTAGTTCAGGGAGTATGACAAGATAAGATGTTCCCAGGAAAACTCACCCTGCTATGAAACCATTTAAGCTCAATTTGAAGTTACAGATAAAAGGACTTTGTATTTTTCTTACTGTGCCTGTGCAATATGACTGAAACATAACTCTCTAGTGTAATGTAAAGGAGAGAAAACAGAAAACTGTGTTTCAGTAATCGGATGAATTTGCTATACCTATATTAGCCATGGTCTACATGCTACATGATAATAATTATTAATTATAAAAGAGGAAAGGTTCTGGAAGACCTCCAGAACCCTGTTCAATGGCCTCTGAGCCTGCATTACTGTGCAGTGGATTACCAGAAGCTGCCAGATTCAGGTTGTGCAGGTAGAAAGGCTCCGGCCAAGCACTGCAATGAAACAAAGCAGTGAATGAGGGAGTGTTGGAATTTGGCAAATCCTTATCAGCAAGTAAAGACCTGGTTAATAGTTACAGCTTGGTTTATATTAGATCCTTTACTCTAAACAGAGTGAAATTGAGAACGCACCATTTAGTTGGACACAGATGAGGAAGTAATATGACTGCTGACTGCAGTCTAATCATTTCTGTGAGCAGTCTGGACCAATACATCACGCCACCCGAAGCTGTCCATCTCATTTACTGCTCTGGAATCTATGGGACCAATGCAATTGCCAATTTGTCTTTTTGTGCATGCACTGTCCTGATCCCTGATATTTTGACCTTGGCCAGGCATGATGAGAGTGCTGTTATATAGAAGTAGGTATGCAGAGCCCCTAAATTTATACCATTCTTAACTACTCTGAGGATCACTGGGGCTAATCTGGGGGCTGCTGCAATGGGAACGGACAGAGTATCACTGACTCTGCTTGTTACTCTAATAGATGGAGACCTAATAGATGTTCTGAATTCTGTGGATAATATTGACAAAATTGACTCCTTGGCCACAATCTCAGTTCAAAACCAAAGGGGCTCTGCACCTGCTGATTGCATAGCTGTGAGGGTACTGTGTGTTCTTAAATGAGGAATGCTGTTATTAAACCAAAGTCAAGCATGGTGAGGGACATATTGAATCAGCTGAAAGAAAGAATTAGAGCTATAGTTAGGAAGCTCCAGCCTAGTCAGACCTGTTTGTGAAACCAGATTCTGTCATGGTCCGCATGGCTAACCACAAGGGGTTAGTATAGGGCTAGTGCTCCTCATAGTAGGGCTATGCTTAATTAATGGTGCACAGATGGTCATTGCTGCTTGTCTTCAACAGACTAAGCTGCAGTTCCTAATTCATTAGTCCCACCGACTTCAACACAGGTCAAGTCAGACTTGCAAATGATATGTATGCAATGCATCAAGAGGAGGGGATATAGTGCAAAAATAAGGAGCAGCAGTGGTAAACTAAAGGCAGGACTTCTGAGTGACCCATTATAGGATCTGGAAAAAGATGAATAGGCCATACAGCATAAAGTTTTGACCAGAACAGAGCAGAAGAGCCAAACAGAACAGTTTACTTGAGCAGGAATGACATGGGACCACGGAAGCAATGTCTATATGGAAATTCAAACAGAATAGATTCGCGAGGGAGCCACACCCCTGCCTTGCCTCTTGTGGGCTGCTGGCAGAGGGGAGCCACTTAGCAGTGGTCTGGCCCGCCTGGCTCCTGAGCCCTAACCCACTGCGCGAGTCTGCTTGAGGTGGTGTTGCTGCCCGCGGAGGTGCAGGAAGGCTTGGCAGAGCTGGAGCTGCACCTTGTGGGAAGGAATCACTTCTGATGGTGCTCTGGTGATCACATAGTATGCTGCAGATCAAACCTGGGTCAGCCATGTGCAAGTGAGCTCCATATTGTTCTCCACAGAGGCTGAGCCAGAAGACCTTCCCACCAAAAGTAGATGAGGTTTCCTTTCTTAACACAACCCCACCAACGCCTGATGTTTCCAGATTTTATGATATGTGCCATTCTTACTGGCATGAGATAAGATTGTTGCTTTTATTTGCAAGGGAAATTAAAATGTAAATAATGACATACCACTACATGTCCAGACTGGGGAGATTTGGGACTTGGGGTGGGGGCTAGGGATGACCTAGTGAGAGAGTATTTACCTGCATGTGACAGTTTAGGATTGAGCACCATAAAATAGCTGACCTGTCAAGCCATCAAAAGATGGGGAAGAAACTTAAACACACATTTACTATGTGAAAAAAGTCACTTTGATGAGTGTGTGGTGCCACCATGAGGTCAACCTGTATCTACAGGGCAAGTGGATCAGCATCCTGATGGTGCTTTCAGGCTTCCTGATACCCCAAAATTACTGCTGTGCCTCTGGCTGGGCCCTAACATCTTGGGATCAAGTTTTTTTTAGAAATTAAACCGCCAAAATTTAAGTATGTGAGAGCCATACCCACAAACCACCTCCAGCTCAGCTATACAAACTCATTTATTCGCCTTGCTTCAGAGACCCATAAATAATAAATTTTGTGCCCGTACAAGGCTGAGCAGATCAGGGTAAATTATGTGGTCATCCTGGTGTCTACCACTGCTGAGCCCCCAGTAGCCACTTGCTTCCAGAATAATCCAAAGTTGCTACCATGCCCCCAGCTGGACTCCACTGTCTCAGGTCGGACCTCATTGAGAGATAATCTGCTGAAAATGTGGATATATGGGATACTGTGACTGAAACCTCCAGGCTTTCTTGGGGTTGGGATGGGCTACCACGCCCCACCTTCCTGTACTTCTGGAAGCCTTGGCAGTCATGTCCACACCCCAAAGCTGCCACCCAGTTAAAAAAGCTACTCCAGCCTTACCTTGCAGATAAAAATACTGAATAGCCTGAACAAACACAAGGACTTCTTAGTACCTGTATTGAAAACCATAATGCTCCAAAGGAGAAAAGAAAGAAGGAAACAGCCTGCCATAGAGGCAAGCTTGAAGGTGTGTGTGTGTGTTGCGGGGGGCATTGGGACACTAGTGCTAGGATGTTCACAGGTGGAGGGATGGGTGTTGGATCATTGTATGACTGAAATCGAATCATGAACAGCTTGTAATGGTGTATTTAATGGATATTCAATAAAAAATTTAAAAATTAAATTAAAAATATTCAATAAAAAATCCACCAGAATGGATACATCACAAATTATACTAAGCAGTATTATGTTAGCAACCATGGTATATGTTAGATAGAAAATTGTTCCCATAGAATTGTAGTATCCTTTATTTCACATATATAATCTCTGTGAAACACTAATCACTCTCAGGCTCCCTTCTAGATTCTTGAATATGTAGATATATAGATGGAACATCCCCCTACTCTCTGATTCTTCTTGTGCTGGTTGAGTAACTGAATTAATATCAGTTGGATTAGTAGGAAAAAAGTCAAATTCAGTTGTATGCAGATGACAAATCTACATGAATATGGTTTCTAAAGCCAGTGAGGCAAAATGAGGATATATATCCTCATCCTATGGGACAGAAATTCAAAGAGTGAGAGTGGAGACTCGCATAATGAGGGGGTGATTCTCCAGTTATATCTTTTCCCTGTCCTATGATAGGTTTATCTAACAGAGAATATATGTCTGGTAAAAAATTCTAATTCTACGTAATACCCCTAATTTTCATTCCTAAATATAGTTAGGGAATAGTAAAAATTTCTTGTGAACCTGAAGGGCCTTTGTTGACCTTAGCTAAAAATAATCCACATACCAAAGTGATACTTTTTAGAAAGGCCTGTTTTAAGCATGTGTGCAAGTCTTTTTCTAAACATATTGAAGAGAGATAACCTTACAT